GAGATAGGAGGAGAATCAGAAAGCCCAAGCTGGTCTCTCTTTAGTCTCCGGTCTTCGGTGAAGCATCAGCAGTTTGTGCATATTTTGGCCACAGACATTTGCATCTTGCCCTGTAGAGATTATCTAACAGTTGGAAGTAGGCAACCCTCCAGGTCTTCACGAATAACAAGATGACAAAGACCATCCAAAGTCCCGTGACAAACCCTACAGCCAGTCCAAGATACAAATCTCTCTTCTTTGCATTGTTACCTTCATGGTGATCTTCAGTCACCCCGGGTCGTGAGCAGCTCATGGATAGAGGAGGTCCACATAGATAGTTGTTGCCGATGTACATGGATTCTGAATTAGACAGTGTCTGTAGCCGACTTCCCGAGGGTATTCTTCCAGAAAGATTGTTATAGGACAGATTTAAGTGGCTCAGTGTTGTTATCTCTGTCAAACTCCATGGAATTTCACCGTAAAGCTCGTTGAATGAGAGATCAAGAGATTCCAATCCTCGCAGCAGGCCAATCTTGTCTGGAATCTTTCCACTGAACTGATTATGGGAAATATTCAGAAGCTTCAGTCCAAAAAGGGATGCTATTTCTTCTGGAATCTCTCCAAGTAGATTATTGCAGGAGAAATCAAGGCCAACCATATATACAATTGCACTGGTGTAATAAAGTTGTTGACCTTTCATTACTATTTGTTGGCTGTCATCATATTTTATTGCTTCAATGTGGTTGTCTACTCCTGTACTTTCGAACTTGCTCTCCAAGGGGTTATCAGATCTTGTTTTGCTATATTGAGCCATTGCTTTTAATTTGGCCAAACCACGAGGTATAGCTCCTGATATTCTATTATTTGCAAGGTCCAAGAACTGGAGATGTACTTGCTCTGTTAGCTCAAGTGGAATAGAACCAGAGAACATATTATGCCGTAACAACAAAAAAGACAAATATGGCAATTTCCCTGATGTCCACGTTGGTAGCTCTCCTTCGAACTTGTTGTGGGAAAGATCAAGTAATGTCAAAACTGGACTGTATTGCAAGAATTCAGGGAATTTGCCAGATAGGTTGTTGCTGTGCAAGATCAGAGCCGACAATTGCCTGTTTCCGGGATCTACTGTTGTGTTCAGTTCTTCCTTATCATCTCTACCTTTTGAACATTGCGGAAGTTGTCCTACTAGAAGGTTTTCTGAAAGATCCAACACTTGCATATACTGCAGTTGACATACATATATTGGAATTGTTCCATTGATATGGTTTGCGAACAATACAAGCTCTCTAAGCATTGGAGCTCCAAAGTCCTGGGGAAGTGGTCCCGATAAAGAATTCCTGGAGATATCTAAGAACAATAACGATTCTGGTAGCAGTGGCAGCAAACCTGTGAAGCCATTTGAGTTGAGGTCAAGCATTTGTGCAGAAGTCATAAATTCCAGTGTTGCTGGCAGCCGACCACTTATTTGATTACAAGAGATATTTACATAGCTGACATTGGAGAATACAGTCCAAAACCAATCAGGGACAAGATCAACTATGCCTGCAGCTGAAATGTCAAGTTCGAAAATATCCTTCTGTCCTTCAAGCCACAAGGGAAAATGAGGTCCCATTTTGGTACTTGCAAAATTAGCCACTTCCAGGTTAAATGTGGGGATCCAGTTTGAGCTGATAGTGATGTGTACAGGGTTGTGAGATAAACTCAGTTCCATCAAGTACACTAGACTTGCAAAATGTTCCTCTGATACAGAACCATTCAACTGGTTGTTGTTTAGAATCAATGACCGTAGATTAGTCATCTTGCCAATTCCCAAAGGTATTGACCCCACGAGCCTATTATCAGAGAGTTGAAGATCAGTTAAATTTTCCCACTGTTTAATACTGCTTGGAATCCTGCCAGTAAGGTTGGTAGCAGACAGATCTAAGGACCGCAATTTACTCTTTGTACACGCCGGAAACCCCTCCATAAAATCTGACATATCCTGGTCGATCTCATTTGACCATAGCTCTAGCCAGCTGAGGTTGCATGAGTTTTTGAACAGTTCGGATTTTACACCTGAGAGGTAATTGTCACCTAGCCTCAGTGTCTGAAGAGATGTCATGTTTCCGATTGCTTCTGGAAGTTGGCCAACTATTTTGTTACTTGAAAGGTCAAGTTCCTTGATGATGAGAACACCCCAGAACCAGTAGGTTGGATTCAACGTGTCAATTCTGTTGCTATATAGATCAAGCACCTGAAGTGAACTCAGATTTGATTGCAGTATGGGTTCATGTTGTAAACTGAGTCCACATTGACTGAGTTGAAGGAGTTCCAGAGAAGGAACAAGGGTGACCACCCCAACCCAATCACGAATAGTGCTGAGGTTCACTCCACTCATGTCAAGGGATCTTAGTAAACCAAGGCGAGATAACCATGATATGTCATCAGAATGCAAAAGAGTATCAGAGAAAACAGTGGCCTCAAGGTTAAGGTGGAGCAACCTAGAGAGGTTACCAAGCTGAGGTGGCACTCCCTCATCGAAATTCATGCAAGCAAGGTTCAGATATGTCAAGCTCTTGATGGAGCCTAAGAATTTTGGTATGGGCACACCTACTCCCCCAAGGCTGTTTCCACTTAGATCAAGATGGTTCAAGTACTGTAAAGCAAGCAAAGACGAACTTATCTTCCCTTGCAATCCGCCGGATTCCCCCATGAGCACGAGGCATGCACCAAACAAAATTCTCATCGTCTTCGATGAAGGCATTGCGGAGGCTGAGCTTGACGACGTGGCCTGTCCGGTTGTCGCAAGTGACACCGCTCCACTGGCAGCAGTCATGGTCTCTCCAGGAATCCAGTCGTTTTGCAGGGTCACTTGTCATGCCGGTTTTGAAGGAGAGCAGCGCCGCCCTCTCAGCCGCGATGCAGCTCCTGCTGGATGTTTCTCCCGTATAGGAAGAGGAGGTGGCCATGGACAGGGTTGCGGTTGCTAGGACGATTAGAAGGCAGCTGGCTGCACCCGAGGCAGATCGTGTTGCTGTGGCCATTGTGTTATTTCTGTGCAAGGCTAAAACGGAAGCCCAGGGAATGTATACGGTTTATTGCTTGACGCGAGAGGTTGGAAATTCCTCTCCTTCAGTCGCATCGCAGTGAATGCGTCCATATAGTATCCGCCGAACGAAGGGTCAAGTAAGAGTAGTAACACGAAGGGGACGATTATGTCGTGAAAAGGAAAGATTTAATCTGCACAACGGACATTCAGAAATATTAGTGCCTGTAGCTATCAATCAGTTTCAGTGATCAATGAACAAGAGGAAGAAATGTGTGTTGTGTATTGTCGGAACCATGAGCAATCAGGACTTGGGTTGCGCTGCCTTGAATCTTCTATCTTCATTTTCAGTTGAACCATTCTAGCCCTTTCTTCCATGAAGGCATGCAATTGTTTTCCCTCTATCACACTCATTTTTTCTTGCAAACAATCGCAGAGGAAGGGTCATCTCACGTACGTTTGAAGCTGGACAGATGGCCTGTTTTCCCTTAGACTGTTTCTATAAAGTAGTATAAACTAAGCTTTAATGCTAAGTGAGTTCTCAAAATCTGCTCAAGTTTCCAACATATGTAATCATCTTTCTCTTGATTGTGTGGAGGGAGGGAGGGAGGGGCGAACCCTATTTGACGCTCACTACATCAAATTGCTCGCGATTCACAGGAGGCGTCAAGCCAAGGTGAGTTGGGCTGGCCCATTAGCTAGCTAGTACCTGCTATAGCAATCCTGGTTTTGGGAACCTTCTGGAAGGTTCCTGTCTGGCCTTTTACATTTTTCCTTGTTTTCTTTTTAAAAAAACTTCAGAAATTTCATTTTTTTTGTGAAGAATGTTTAATTTTTTTAAAATCTTTTGGAATTTTAGAAATGTTCATGTTTTTCAGTAAAAAGATCAAAACTGTAAAAAGTTGTTCACATCTCAAAATTTGTAAAAATCTTCAGTATTTTAAAACCCCGGCTGAAAACCAAAAAATCGATCGCTACAGTGTATAGCTCGTGTCTGGCTCAAGAGAGGATGGAAAATCAGACTGAATGTTTTCACGGTAGCAATCTTATTCTTTTGACTGAAGATGGGCCTTTTATTTTTTTTAGTGGATGTACCCCTTTATTCAATAATAAAAGAGTGCGGATTCCCCAAGAGACACACACCAAATAAAATTCTCATATCCTTTAAAAAACAAATAAAATTCTCATCGTCTTCGATGAAGACATTGCGGAGATTGAGCTTAACTACGTGGCATGTCTGGTTGTCACACGTAATACCGCTCCACTGGCAGCAGTCATGGTCTCTCCAGGAGCCCAGGCGTTTAGCAGGGTCACTTGTTATGCCAGTTTGAACTTTGAAGGAGAGCAGCGCCGCCCTCTCAGGCGCGGCACAGCTCCCGTTGGATGTATCTCCGGCATAGGAAGATGGTGGCCATGGATATGTTGGTGATTGGTAGGACGATCAAAAGGCAGCTGGCCGCATCCGGGGCAGATCTTCTTGTTGTGGCCACTCTGTTATCCGGGGCAGATCTTCTTGTCATGCCAGTTTGAAGGAGAGGCGCGCCACCCTATCAGGCGAGGATTTTTCAAAAGAGATTGTTATACAATTGGTGGCATGACGCAGTACAGGCTGACACGTTACCTGCTACAATTGCAAAGAACAGTCAGGAGTGAAGGTGACTGTTGAAGCGTCGATACGCAATAGCTATCCGTCCGTTTATAGCTTAATGTTTCAGTCACTATTCTGAGTTTCTGACCAGTCAGCAGTGAAGGTCGCATCCCAACTCAGAGGTGGACAGCTGACATGTCAACTCTTGACCACTTGGAAAATTGGAAGTCAATCTACCAGAATTCCAAGAACACTGCGTTAGAAAATCATCTGATTCCGCGATCAAACATTCGTCGATGCTCGGTTCGTCAAAGCATCGCTTGCTTGTAGACCAAGGACTGGTACAACTATCTACTTACTCCCAGTTAGCCACCTTCATTAGTACTAAGATCTTGGCCTGATCGATCAATGGATTGGCCGGCTCTCACTCTCACCAGCTTCACGGCGGTCACAATCCTTATCTTCCTACCGTTGAGTGCTTCCGACGATCGGCTTGTCCCTGGCAGGGCGCTGTCCCCAGGTAACTTCATCCTCTCCGATCATGGTGGATTCGCCTTGGGCTTCTTCAGCCCCTCCAACTCCACTCCGACCAGCCTGTACCTAGGCATATGGTACACCGGCATCCACGAGCTCACAGTCGTGTGGGTCGCCAATCGAGAAGCCCCAGCCACCAACACCACTTCCTCTCCACCAACGTTCTCCCTCACCAACACCTCTAATCTGGTTCTCTTCGATGGTAATGGTGGCCGCCGTGTCCTTTGGACAACGACCAACGTGGCCACTGCCGTGGGCTCATCTACCTCAACGGCAGTGCTTCTGAACACTGGCAACCTCGTTATTCGGTTGTCAAATGGCACCATGTTGTGGCAGAGCTTCGGCCACCACACTGACACATTCCTCCCTGGCATGAAGCTACGGATAAAAAATAGCACACATGGCACCGCTGAGCATCTGGTATCCTGGAAAGGCCCTAACGACCCTTCGTTGGGGCGCTTCTCCTATGGCAGTGACCCGAACAGATCCCTACAAGTATTCCTATGGGACGGGGAGCACTCGGTGTCTCGCAGCGCCCCATGGACAGGGTACCTAGTGATGAGCCAAAGCCAACAACAACTTGGGGGCGCAAGGGCAACTAACGTCAGCGATTTTATCATCTATGTGGCCTTCGTCGACAAGGACGATGAGATGTACATCACCTATAGCCTCTCCGACGGCGCCCCACGCACCAGGTTAGTGCTCACCTACTATGGCGAGTATCAGCTCCAGAGTTGGAGCAACAAGTCATCAGCGTGGGCTGTCCTTTGGAAGTGGCCGTCTGCTGAATGCAACCGCTACAATTATTGTGGCCCAAATGGATACTGCGATGAGACATCCACCAAGCCTGCCGTGCCAGCATGCAAGTGTCTCGACGGCTTTGAGCCGACTAACACGGAGGAGTGGACTGCAGGCAGATTCCCGGCAGGGTGCCAAAGGAAGAAGGCGCCGCGATGCAGTGACGGATTCTTAGCCTTGCCGGGGATGAAGTCACCTGACATGTTTTCTTCCGTGGGCGGGGACATGAGTACGTTCGAGGAGTGCACAGCAGAGTGCAGAGTGCAGCCGCAATTGCTCGTGCGTGGCATACACGTTCAGCAACCTGAGCACTGGCAGGTCTGGAGGAGACGTGACCAGATGCTTGGTGTGGAATGGGGAGTTGGTTGACATAGGAAAGATAGGGGAGCTTGGCGGTGAGACACTTTATCTCCGGCATGCACGCATGGATGCAGCAACTGGTATCAGATCTAGCTTTGTTATTTGTCTATCATTCTACAACTTTCTTTCTTTTCAATAACATGCTTCTAGTTTCATCATCCATTTTTGTGACAGTCAGTTAATATATTAGTAGTTGTATGATCATGATCTTCTCGTCCCTTTTGTAGTTCCACAATCTGATCTTTAAGTTAAGATGGTTGTTACATGACTTAGAAATACTTATTGCTCTCAAAATAGGCTTTTGCCCTGCTTTATACATAAAGCAACGAAAATGTTTTTTTTTACTGTGTATGTATTTCTTGCATAGGTAGAAGAACAAAGAGAAAAACAGTGAGGATTGTATTGCCAGTTTTAAGCTCTAGTGTTCTGGTACTCATCTGCGTCTTCCTTGCATGGTTAAAATTCAAAGGTACGTTTCCTTGACCCTGCTAAGTAAACCGTTATATATTTTTTTGCGGGGAAAGTAAAACGTTATATTTGACCACCTTATGGGAGTGTAAGTCTCACCACCAAAACTTGGACTGCATCATGTACTACCATAATAATAATATACCCTTCCCCGCAAAAATAATAATAATAATAATATACCCTTAGACTATAGAATCTTATAAATCCCCTGAGTATATAAAACGAGAACAAATAACTTCTTAGATGGCTTATAGCATAGTTTAACTACCCTGAGGAGTGATGCAATGATAACTTACGATCTAGTACCAAATAAGATGGAGTCCTCATGTTAGAGAAACCACATACTTCTCTCGCCCTATTGCAATCGATCGTTCGTACACCATGTCCGCTAGAGCCCTTGCACTTTGTGTGTGTGTGTGCGCGCGCGCATACACACAGAATGGGTCACGTCGATCATAGGGGTTGCTGTCTTGTTTCTTTCCATATCATTGCAATCGCTGCTCGGAGATACTTGGTGTTGAAGGGGTTAGCTTAGCTGAATGTACACTCTGCCACATGGTGGTAGGGACACATCGGGGGTTATTTCATTTGCTTCCATGAGTTCATAAATTGGGGAATGGTATACCGACATTAATAGTCAGGTTTCAAATATAACTTTTTTCTTTGTTATGTATGTGATGTGCTTATTAGAAGGGAAGTGACTATTAACACATTGTGGGAGCAGGCAAGAACAAAAAATGGAGAAATCGAAATAAGATAAGTTTGGATGGTGTGAATACCTCTAATGAATTGGGAGAAGGAAACCCTCCCCATGATCAGGAATTTCCATTTGTAAGATTAGAAGAAATTGTGCTGGCAACCGACAATTTCTCTGAAACATGCATGTTTGGACAAGGAGGCTTTGGTAAAGTATACAAGGTGACTCATTGAATAGATAGTTTCCTAATATTCGTTCTAATAAGAAGAGCTACCTATTTCGTATCGCCAGTCAAATCTAATATTCACATTATATTCTCTAAGGAATGGTAGGTGGTCAAGAAGTTGCAATCAAGAGGCTAAGTAGAGATTCTCAACAAGGAACAAATGAATTTAGAAACGAAGTGATTCTGATTGCCAAATTGCAACACAGAAACTTGGTTCGACTTCTTGGATGTTGCGGTGAGGAGATGAAAAGCTCCTAATATATGAGTATCTTCCTAATAAGAGCTTAGATGCTACCCTTTTTGGTACGTATTCTAATAACAAACCATGATTTCCTAAGACAAGTCAAAACATTTATTTGCTTACATTTGTTTTTTTAGATGACTCAAGAAAATTGTTGTTGGACTGGGAGACACGATTTAGTATAATCAAAGGGGTTGCAAGGGGACTAATGTATCTTCATGAAGATTCAAGGTTCACCATAATTCATAGAGATCTCAAAGTTGGAAATATTTTGCTAGATGCCAATTTTAAACCCAAGATAGCAGATTTTGGTATGGCTAGAATCTTTGGTGATAACCAGCAAAATGCAAATACCCAACGTGTTGTTGGAACATAGTGAGTATCCATTGGAAGAAAAATCATATTGATCTTTTAGATTGAACTTTTATTAGATACCGCTTACAATTGAATTGCTCAAATAGTGGCTACATGGCTCCTGAGTATGCAATGGAAGGCGTCTTCTCTACCAAGTCTGATGTCTATAGTTTTGGTGTGTTACTGCTGGAGGTTGTAACTGGCATAAGGAGAAACTCCATTAGTCAAACCATGGGATTCCCTAGCCTCACAGTTTATGTGAGTACATACAAGACTTAAAGTCAAGTTTTACTTCTAAACATGGATTAAATTTCCAAAGCGTTTTTAGTTTTAAACATAGTATGAATAGGAATACTAATATGATGTTCTTGGTTTTTCAGTCAAGGAATATGTGGAAGGAAGCGAAGACCGATGAACTGCTAGACTCATGTATCGTAAATACTTCACCGGTCGAAGTTTTGCTTTGCGTCCATGTAGCACTCTTGTGTGTCCAGGAGAACCCAAATGATAGGCTGCTTATGTCATCTGTTGTGTTCATCCTAGAGAATAGAATCACCACACTTACAGCCCCCAGTCGCCCCGCCTACTTTGCACGACAAAGTGCTGAAGTTAGTAATATAAAAAATGACATTCGGACTTCCGCGAACAGTTTTACTCTTACTGAGATAGAGGGCCGATGAAGTAATAATTTTCAGGTTTAGATGTATAAAATGGTCTTGAAGGAAAAAAAGTTGATCAATCGTAACACTTTGGTAAAATGTATGGCTCAGCAAAATAGCGATGTAATATTCCAAAAATAAGCAATGTATCACCTGTTGCCCAGGAATCATTATGTTGGAATGTGTTTTGTATTCTGGTTCTAGAACTCCAGATAGCAGTCTCAGGGGGTGTTTGTTTCCAGGAACTTTTTTGTGTAGGGACTAAAAAAAATCCCTCTTAGAGACTTTTTTACCAAACGGGAGGGACTTTTTAGGGACTAAACTAGGCATTTGGGACTAAATGAAGAAAACTCTCAAGAAGAATCTTTTGGGATTTTTCCAACAATGCCCCTCCATGCACCCATTGGTCCGCCACCCCATGATGTTTTTGATTGTTATTTTTTCTATATACTAGGGGCAACATGGTCATTTAATAGCCTCTAGGAAAGGACTAGGGACTTTTTAATCTCTGAAAACAAACAGGGAGGGACTTTTTAGGGACTAGAAACTTTTTAGTTGGGACTAGAAAAAGTCCTAGGACTAGAGAACCAAACACCACCTCAGTTACAAAATAGAAAAGAAAAATATTAAGACACTACTTTGTGTGTGTGTGTGTGTGTGGAAATTAAGACACTACTTGACAAAAAGGACTCTGAAGAAAAAAAAACTTCGATGAAGGTGACATTGGATACAAGTGATTAGGTAGTGGTGTTCTTGTCTATGCTTCTTGCAATGTTTTTGTGTTTACATGTAAAAAAGGTGCAGGTCCAGAATCCATGCTTTTATACTAAATTAGGATGACGAATTTGACAACAACCAATTTATATCTCAAGGAAGCATCTTTTAAACTCAATGGCCCTTTCATTTCCATAACGGTCATAAACATGAACTGACTTCACGTGGCACATCTAGGCCTTGTAGGAAGTCCCTTTTGTTTCCGCACTGCTGTGTATAATTTTAGCTTATATAAAGTTTGAACTATCGGTGAAACCTGAATGCCTTGAACTCCGTTGCCTCGACGGCGGCCTCAATGACCCCCCCCCCCCCTCCCCGCGGCTTCTCAGCC